ATTAGTGAAACAGTCCCTTTTGTTATGCTTGTGTAATCAGATATTATAGTATACATACCGACAACTAATCCCATTAAAAAACAGTTGAAAACTATTAATCCGATTTGCCTTTTTTGAGATCGAACGTTTGATCAATTCGAACGACTGATCAAAGTACACTCGAACGTATTTTTTTTTTGCTCATACTCAAGTAGAATCCTAGATTATAAATTTGTCGTGAGGCGTATATTATTTGACCTTCACCACAACCTTAAAACAAACAGCAACAGTTATCGTATTAAAGACGTGAATCGGCGGTGTCTGCATCCCTACTTTGTACGCCCCCGTCCCATCCTCTTTTGAAACGCCACGACTTCGTGCACTTTACACAAAGCGCTTCCCTAAAAAAAAAGAAAACATGCCAACTGCTCGAAATAAATGTGTTTGTACAAGATGGGCGTTGGTTAATACTTTAATGCTCTGTTATCGAATGTTTGATCAGTTCGAACGATTGATCAAAGGATTCTCGATTGCGGCTTTTCTTTGACTTTTCTTACATTTTCATACAATACTGTTTTGTGAGGTTATCACAAAGGAATGTAACCCTGGAGTTATTCATTAATTCCATGAAGTCTAGAGCATTTGATCATTAATGAATTCCTCTTATTTATCATTTTGATGAATGATGCCAGAACTTCCGTTTGCAAACCGTAAATGTTTTAATATATTTTATCAACGATTTCCTGGCTATAACATGCACTTTTTCATTGGATCAAGTATTTTGCAACTATCATTACGTGAATAAATCTCATTACCTGAATTAATCTGAAATACATTCATATTTGATCAGTTATTCTAGAACGTTTGATCAATGTGTTATTTTTGTTTTTACATGTAACCCGTTATACATAATAATCTGTTATTTATTTAACCTAATATGCAACGTCTTGATGCTTACTTGTTGCTAGCAGGATACACTGAGATAGTCGACGGTGAACCCATGACAGTGAACACCGATATGGCGACCGTTGTCAAAGCAATGGCGGCACCCGACTCTGGACTAGATATACGAGACAGAATGTGGCTTAAAATCACTATTCCTAACGCTTTTATAGGTATGATTTGTAATCATGTTCGCGATATATAATGGAATGATCATTGTCAGCTGTCAATCATGTCATCATAATCATCCAACGTCATTAAGATTGTCAAGATCCGTAGGCATCATTATCCATGATATCATTGCGTCACAGTCCCGTCATCTTCACTTCATTTTCATGATTGTAATCTTGTTGATAGACAATGTCAATCATTGTCATCATCATCAATACGTTAACTATTCYATTTGCTGATTGTTTTYTGTCCATTMTTYAGGTTCCGATGTCGTAGACTGGCTTTATACACATGTCGAGGGATTTACTGATAGACGAGAAGCTAGAAAATATAGTTGTAACTTGTTAAAGGTATTAAATACATCGAAATAGAGCATCCAATTAAGTTCACTACAATTCTATAACTTTTCATCGATTATTCTAGAACGTTTGATCATTCTTGCTTCTAGAACGTGTAATCAATGTTTATAGAATGACAGATCAAATTCTAGAACAGTTTATGGAAGTTCTCTTATCTTTGCAGGCTGGATACATTCGACACACAGTGAATAAAATCACTTTCTCTGAGCAGTGCTACTACGTTTTCGGCGATCTCTGTGGAAGTAAGTGATTTTAACATATCTTGATTTTGATCATCCATCATACCGTGACATTCATAACGTTTGTGGAGGACTCAACAACATTTTTCACGACGATATTCGTAACGACATTTTCGTGTTTTTAAAAGTAGTATAGTATGAGTAGATTTCGTACGAGAAAACTTTTTTTTCTGGTTGTGTCACTTCCGGATTCAACAATTTTCGGTAACGCGAAGATTTCGTGACATGGTGCACGTGACATCTTCAATCTGATTGGAAGATTGCGATCCCCCGTCCATTTATGGTAAGATATTTTCAATGTGATACTCATGCGCAGTCTACTCTATACTAACTACTTTCAACTGCTGATACCTTGTGTGCTTAAACAATAGTATAACCGTTAAAACAACAGTTAACAACATCAGGGGTGGAGTAACTCTGACAATGAGGGTTTGCTAACAGAATGGGACTTTTCAATTTATTTGGAACGTTTGATCAAAGATTCTAGAATACTCCATTGATCGTTTTCAAACGGTAATCGGTAGTTCTGGAAGGTTTGATCAAAGATTCGAGAACATTTGATCAAAGTGGGACCTTCTCTTCATATGCTCGAATGATATGAAGCTCAAGTGACATAGAATGAGAGTAACTCTGACCCCTTAACTCTCAAACTCTAAAACGTTCATAAAAACAGCCATAACATGCGTCATTCATTTGTTCGATCCCTTCACAATTATTGACTAATGTATTACTTTTCAGACATGGCCGCCTTGACTTTGACAGAGCATGAACACGAGGGTGATCAAGACACCCTAGGTCCCCTCCCCCCACAGCAACAAGCTATTCCATGGTTGACAGGGGGACCACCCGCTTATGGGTACCATCAGATGCCACCCTACCCGCACCCCCATGCACCCCCCATGCCAGTCGATGCCAAGACGGCAGGGTATGCCCACTCTTTCTACAGCGGTACAAGTGCACATAGTGGCAGCCAAAGCCCTCACAGCGGTAGTGGAAGTTCAAAACGTGGTAGCGAGCGACAGGGTGATGATCACAGGAGCAGTGGTGGAAGCAGTAGTGAACGTAGCGGCAGTAGTAAGGGCAAGAGTAGTCAGAGTGTTCGGAGTGAAGCACCAGCACCACCCACTGGGCTGACCCCTTCAGCGCCACGCCCTTTAGACCAGGTTCCCGAAAGCATAGCATCGAGCAGGAATAGTTTTCGAATGGCAATGACGAATCCGTGTGAATATTTTGTTGATGTCATGTGACCATGGAGCTTCCTGGTCAATCACGTAATACCACAGCARAGCTGATTGTCAGCTTGGTGAACAGCAAGRKGCAGGCCGAGATAGTAAGCAAATTAGGACAAAGAACTGTACAGGCGTCAAGAAAATAWTGAAGGTCAAGTCGCGAAGACAACGAGAAGTTGCTGAGAAGAAAAAAGTAGTTTGCTAAACGGAATTTGTTTCTCCCTAAAATTACGCGTCTGCTATGTAAATCCATAAACTGTTTGACTGGTTCTTGAGACTTGCTTGACTTGTTTCACAACCTGTTGGACTGGTTCTGGAGGCTTTCTAACCGAACTGTTTGAACTGGATACTGCATCTCAAAAAGAAAACCTGTTTTACCAGTTTTTAAAAACGGGTTTGATACAGATTTGCTTCAATGGAATAGAATGATGAACATATGACAATTGTATTCAAAGAAATAGTCGTTTTGGGAAAAAAGAAGGAATGATCAAGTGTTCCAAAAGAGCGTACAATTATAATTRGTAGTGATATACATATAAAGTTTGTTTGGTTTTATCATAGACTTTGTAAATAGCGTATTATGGTTATTGTACATTGCTTTTCATTCTGTAGAATCTATATTGAATTTTATCAGAGGCTTAATGTAGCCTGCGGAGACAATGGAGATGTCGCTCTCGTGCCCARCCTCTYGTCTTATRATAYGAAAAGGGGACTGGGTATGAATATAGTTTAGTCTTCAGAGATTACTTAAGAATATTACGTTTTAGCATGATCGTCGATTTCCACACGTGTCTAACACTAAGACAGATAGAGCATAATGATGTCACTGGACATCCAGCCTGTTGTAGATTAAACATTCTAGAATAACTGATCAAAGGTTCTAAAATGATTAACTCGTATGAAGTGTGACGTTTGTTAGACGTTGAATTGAATAAACAATGTAGTCTTATTGTAGCACGATTAAGTGTGACGCGCCCAAGGAGTGGTGGGAAGCCACGGCATTTGAATGCATGCTTTGCATTAAACGGTGCAAGGTTGACCAGAATGCATATGGTCAAGACCCGAAAGCAGTTACATCTCGAAACAAGGGATTTTGTATTGGGAACTATAATCCATTGTTTTAGATGGAGCTACTTTCCTATCGGAAGTGGTACGGGTCTACAACGTTATCATATACGAGTCGAATATAAAGTCTATTATGATCAGATTCAAACGTATAAACTGTCAATAAAACACTTCTGTGAGGTCTTGCTCTTTCTGTATACGACTTTACTCAAATGTTGCCAATTTCATCAATTTTGTAGCGTTGCCAATAATTTCGCATTCCTTTAATTCGTAGTTTTGAATAAGTTCATGAATTTCGTATAGTCTTACTAGAGTTCTCGCAATTCAGCTTAGGACGAGAAGTTATCAATCTAGACAAGGGCTCATTTTAAACTGATTTTTACTATAAACAATAGAATGTTATATGGAAGGCTCGGTTGGACAACGGAGGGCGTGTTAGCCGCGGGCACTACGGAAGGATTTGATTAATGTGATTGTTATCTGGTTTATTTTAGATTTTTGACTTTCTTATTGCCATCGTATATAGTCAAACATGTTATCATAATGTGAAATAATAAATTGTTAGAAAATGAAAAGATTTGAGTTGTATCTCGTGGTGTCACATAAAATTATTGAAGTGCGACGCGCTCGCCCGAAGAATACTCCACCGAATAAAATGACTGGGCAAACAAGGGGGGGGGCGGGTGTTTCTTGGTGGTGGAGCCATGTGCTCTCTAAGGTTACATGTAAAGAGAAAAAACTTAACATATAGGATATTTCAAGCTTTTTGCAAAAAGAGGTCAAAACCTATGAAATATCTGCTAATATCAAACCCCAGCACTAGAATTTCTCACTCTTCTAACGAAACCAAGGTGGCGACTGCAAGGAATCTAATGAATCTATCAACTAAATGATCTAAATCATATTCCATGGGAGACTGGGCAAGTCAATAATCACGTGTGGGAGATTGGGTCGAGGAAATTATCGCAAGCTTAGTTGGTGGAGTAAATTACACGGGTAGGGCCTGGGGAAGAGGATTGAATAGTGAACTGATATCTTTATTAACACTACCTTGATAAACTTACATCACTATAACTTCACGATCTATGTATTTTACATCAAAAGAACCGTATTTCCACAATATACAATTCACCGTCCACTAGACGGCCGGCAATATTGTTGAATGCCAAAATAATGCTCTATTGAGTCCTCCTTTGTGGCACCTTATGGTTAAGAGAATTACGACGCACCTGACCCGTGAAACAAATAGTACATTTACTACAAAAAGTATTGATTAGAAAATATAAAAAAAAAGAATTTTAGCATAATTTAGCGCCTAAGTTGTTCTTTTCAAAGGCCCAGTGTGCACCATTATGCTTTGGGGACCGCGAGGGCCGGGAGGTGGCCATTTTCAGTTTACCGAAAGTCTATAAATTGTACAGTGTGTTTCGAATCTTTGACCATCTCACTTTTCGAAGCACTTTAAACGCTAATATAACAGTTTTCAACCATCTGAAATTCGTTTTATGATGATATTTGGTTACTAGAAGTATTTTGGTGTAAATCATAAAAATAAGAGGCGCGCAAAGCATAATGGTTCAAACTGGGCCTTTAAGTTTCACGGATTGGGTGCGCGCGCTCTCATGTTTATGTGGGCTCTATCTTGATAAGTAGTGCAGTAAGTGCTACCAGTCCCTTCTCTTCCAAATACCACTCCAATTCCTGGGTTCCAAGATTATGGTCTAATAGCGATTCATTTGTATCTTGTGTACAGCAGGAGGCTCTTCCAGTACCGTAGGACCCAGGCTTCACGCAGACACGGAAAGCAACCCGAGCTTCATACGTTTCTCCTGTTGTTACGTCACGATATCTAGTGATGACGTCAGTACACATCAGTTAGAATTGTAAACATATAGAGTTAGGTAAACAAAACGTCATTACGTGTGTCATTTCGTAATCATCACTCAATCATTACGTATCCTTACGTCTATTCATCACAGTCATTACGTATATTTTACACACCATTACGTAAATTATTACGTAAATCACTACGTAAATCGTTACGTCTTTAATGCGTAAATTGTTACGTATTTAATACCTATATATAAATATCAAATCGGAATTGAATTGTAAATTAACGAAGATGTTGATTAAGGATCATTCACGATGCAGGCATCATTTTTATCGTTCACAAATAAAATCATATACAGATAGTGAATTGAGACGACTCATTTAGTAATATAGATAATTTATTAGAAAAATATTTCATAGAATTTTAAATAATTAGATGTAGAATTATTTCTATTTTAAAAATGAAAAAATAGTTTATTCAAGAAAGAGTTAGTTGTAATAAGAAAAGAGAAAAAAATGAAATGAAAATAAAAAATGAAATGAAAATAAAAAATGAATGGAAATAGAAAATGAAATGGAAATAAAATCAAGTTACCAGCTAATCAAGGATTACTTTTGTAATGACGATCAACTATCGATTACTAACCGATTATTTATYGAWTKACTTACTGGAATGGAGACAGCTGTGTCGTGCAAGTGACGCACATGACCGTCGGCGAAACCATTAATCGAGGAACTTCGTTTTCTTTATTCGACTTGGACCGACGACGACTTTGCCCTGAGCCTGAGATGCAAAAAATAACTACTTTAGCAGGGGTAAATATATCTTCAGTAACTCACTATAGTTTTGTTT